TGACTCAGGATCTCACCACCAGCAATCATCCACTCGGGCACATGGCTCTAGACAATCGCAGTCTGGGCATGGACAATCGTCATCTGAATTCAGGCCGGTGAGAAACCGGGGGTCCAGTATTAGTCAGGACAGTGATAGCGAAGGGCACACTGAAGATTCTGAGAGCCAAACTGGATCTGGCTCAGGAAACCAACATGGATCTGCCCATGGCCATGTAGGAGACAGTTCTAGACACTCTGAGTCTCGTCAAGGGCAGAGAAACAATAATCATGGACAGTCTGAGTCTGGTCATGGACACTCAGACACCGGTACTGGAAGGAGACAAGGATCTAGTCATGGACACTCTGTAGATATCTCTAGACAATCAGGGCCTCTTCAGGGGCAGAGTGGAAATCATGGGCAGTCTGAGTCAGGATTTGGACAGTTTCAGCATGGTCGTGGAAGTCTTGGTTCCCCCTATATGGAATCCAGGGACATATGTGAGTTTGGAGAAAAATTTATGTCATCCAATGTAACAGACAGAAATATGAACCCAGGAACATATGGCCATTCAAGGGATAATTCAAAGCAGTTGGGATTTATTCAGTCACAAAGTTATTATTATTATGAGTGAGAATCCAATGGAAGAATAGTTAATCCAAAGAGTATAAACCTGAGCCAAGACAGAACATTGAATCAGGAAACTTGCTCATTATACTTGCAAAGAGTTTATCTTACCATTTTATTTTAAATAAGTTACACTATTTCTTTCCTCTGGTGATAGTTTCATTTCTTCTCTAAGAAGATCTAAACCTTAGTTAGGAAATGGTGAATGGGCAAAATCAATGTCATTTAGAAGGAAATTTAGAAAACTCAATATTTTTGGTAGTTGGGAGTTCAAGTAAGGATTTGTCTTTTGAGAGGTTAAATTTTAGGAACTTTGTAGATTGTCACAAATTATCTTTGCCAAAAATATAAAGTCACTGCTCTAAAGACCAAAGCTACTATGTTAATATCAAGGCTCAGTGCATCTTCCTCTACTATTCTTCAAATGGAATTCTATATTATTCTGGATTCATTAAAATCAAAAGACTGAACTGCATAAAGATTCAAAATAAGCAATTGAGCATATGTCATAGTTTGTCTTTTCTTTTTTTTAAGATTTTATTTATTTATTTGAGAGAGATAGGCAGACAGGCAGGCAGGCAGAGGGAGAGGGAGTAGCAGGCTCTCTGTTGAGCACGGAGCCCGATGTGGGGCTCGATCACAGGACGCTGGGATCATGACCTGAGCCAAAGGCAGATGCCTAACTGACTGAGCCACCCAGGCGCCCCCATAGTTTGTCTTTTCTATTCTTATTTCTCATAGACCCCCGAAGACTTAATTCTCCATGGCCAAAATTACATGTTTTTCTTATATCACTGGAAAACCATATGACCAAATGGCAGTTATACACCATGCAAAAGTAAAAACAAGTCCAATGAAGTAAGAATTTAATCAACATAATCACTGTCCCATGTAGTTACCTTCAGGATGCAAAAAGACTTAGCTCAATCATGAATAGGACCATAATTATTATGCAAACACAACCAAAGTGGCTATTAGGCACATCAAACCAAGATTAGTAAACAGAAATTACTAACCATAGGTCCTTCTTCCAAAGACACTAGGAGTTGTTTTCCAATGGAGATTCTAAGGAAAGCAAGAATTTGTGCAGAAATATCTTGACAAAGGGAAAAACAATAAAGAAAATGCCCACCCTAGAAAGAAAATGCATACAGTTCATGATGTTGGCAGGTGAATGAAGAAATAAATGAAGAGTAGTAGAAATGTGTACAAGCTTCTACCATTAGAAGGAAATCACTGTGGGAGAATCATACCCAAGTTTTCCTTCTCCATAATATCAGACCAGAATGTACATTAGGGAATATCTAGGTCGGTGTTCAAATTCTGCATTTGAGTCTGTCACAAAAATAATCTATACCAAACAGCAATTAGACCTCAAAGTCTCCTAACTCAGTTTTATAAAAGCACTTTATTGAGGGGGGAAAGATGGCAGAGGAGTAGGGGACCCTATTCCAACCGGTCCCTGGAATTGAGCTGTATATCTACCAGACCACTCTGAACACCCCATGAAATCAGCCTGAGATGGAAGAAGATAGATCTGGATCACTACAAACGAATATTGCAGGTGGTTGGTTTTGAGGTATGAAGCGGGCAGCCGTGATTCTACAGGCAGATATCGGAGGATAAACTGAAGGGGAAGGGAGACAGCTGTCTGGATCCTACACGGCCGGTGAGCAATAGCCTCCCACGCTGGGGACGGGGCACAGACTCAGGGACTGGTAGCGGCGGGGAAAGGACTTTAGGGCAGCCCCCCAGACAGAAACCCGGAGGGATGGGGCTGCGTTTGCAAACTGGGGGGTGGCTGGTGGTTTTAGAAGCACCAAGGGCAGAAATGTGCCCCGACCTGGAAGCGAGGACTGGGAGCAATGCTGAGGGGCGCACAACCCAGGATGCTGCAGTTTATAGAAGCACAGACAGAAACAGAGATAGTGTGGTCTGGAGAGCTCACTGAAGAACAGACTGGGATCTCTCTGCTCTGAGGCAGAGAGTTGGAAATGCACTAATCTGCTCTGACTAACAGAAGAGACCCGGAAAGCCGCCAGAGAACAAAGGCCCCCCAAAATCGGTTTTTACTGAGCCCATCCCCCACCACAGGGGGCAGGGCAACTCTGCCCAAACAGGGTTGCCTGAGTAACGGCGCGGCAGGCCACTCCCCCAGAAGACAGGCTGGGAAAACAAGACGCCAGCAACCCTAAGGTCCCTAGAAAAGAGGTGCATCTTGCTTGGGTCGTGGTCAATAATTTGGACTCTATACATTCCCTCAACCACCCCTCAACAGAATGACGAGGAGGAGGAACCACCAGAATTGGAAAGACTCAGAGATTATGACTTATGCCACAGATTTACAAATGGATTCAGATATAACCAAGATGTCAGAGATGAAATTCAGGCTAGCAATTGTGAAGACAATAGCTAGAATGGAGAAATCAATTAATGGCAACATAGAGTCTCTAAGGGCAGAAATGAAAGCTGAATTGGCAGAACTTAGAAGGAGGGGAAGAATGAAGGGGGTTAAATCGGAGGGGGAGACGAACCATGAGAGACGATGGACTCTGAAAAACAAACTGAGGGTTCTAGAGGGGAGGGGGGTGGGGGGATGGGTTAGCCTGGTGATGGGTATTAAAGAGGGCACGTTCTGCGTGGAGCACTGGGTGTTATGCACAAACAATGAATCATGGAACACTACATCAAAAACGAATGATGTAATGTATGGTGATTAACATAACAATAAAAAAATTTAAAGAAAAAAATGCTATCAATGAGATCCAATCTAATCTAGATAATCTAACACCTAGGGAAAGCGAGGCAGAAGAACAAATTAGTGACCTGTAAGACCAAATAATAGACAAAATGGATACCAGCCCTTTATCTGTAGTGTCATTTGCAAATATCTTCCCCTACTCTGTGGGTTGCCTCTTTGTTTTGATGACTGTTTCCTTTGCAGTGCAGAAGATTTTATATATATATATTTGATCCATCTCTTAATTTTATAACATATAATGTATTATTACAGTGGTACAGGTCTGTGATTCCTCAGTCTTGCACATTTCACAGCACTCACCATAGCACATACCTTCCCCAAAGTCCATCACCCAGCCACCCCATCTCTCCCACCCCCCTCCACTCCAGCAACACTCAGTTTGTTTCCTGAGGTTGAGTCTCTTATGGTTTGTCTCCCTCTCTGGTTTCGTCTAGTTTCATTTTTCCCTCCCGTCCCCTATGATCCTCTGTCTTGTTTCTCAAATTTATATATATATAATATATATATATATTTTGGGGGGGTGTTGAGTTTGAGAAGTTCTTTATAGACTTGGAAATCAATGCTTTGTCTGTATTGTCATTTGCAAATATCTTCTCCCATTCTGTGGGTAAAAATGGGCAGAAGACATGAACAGACACTTCTCAAAAGAAGACATACAAATGGCTAACACACACATGAAAAAATGTTCATCATCATTAGCCACCAGGGAAATTCAAATTAAAACCATTTTGAGATACCAACTTACACCAGTCAGAACGGCAAAAATTGACACGGCAAGAAAAAACAAATGTTGGAGAGGTTGTGGAGAAAGGAGAACCCTCTTACACTGTTGGTGGGAATGCAAGTTGGTACAGCCACTTTGGAAAACAGTGTGGAGGTGCCTCAAAAAATTAAAAATAGAGCTACCCTATGACCCAGCAATTGCACTCCTGGGCCTTTACCCCAAAGACACAGATGTAGTGAAAAGAAGGGCCATATGCACCCCAATGTTCATAGCAGCAATGTCCGCAATAGCCAAACTGTGGAAAGAGCCGAGATGCCCTTCAACAGATGAATGAATAAAGAAGATGTGGTCCATATATACAATGGAATATTACTCAGCCATCAGAAAGGATGAATACCCAACTTTTACATCAACATGGATGGGACTGGAGGAGATTATGCTAAGTGAATTAAGTCAAGCAGAGAAAGTCAGTTATCATATGGTTTCACTTATTTGTGGAATATAAGGAATACCATGGAGGACATTAGAAGAAGGAAGGGAAAAATGAAGGGGGGGGGGGAATCGGAGGGAGAGAGGAACCATGAGAGACCATGGACTCAGAGAAACAAACTGAGGGTTTTAGAAGGGAAGGGGAGGGGGGGATGGGTTATCCCGGTGATGGGTATTAAGGCGGGCACGTACTGCATGGAGCACTGGGTGTTATACGAAAACAGTGAACCATGGAACACTACATCAAAAATTAATGTTGTATTGTATGGTCACTAACATAACATAATAAAATAAAATAAAAAATTTTTAAAAATTATATATATATATTTAAAACATCTCAATGTAGTAAATCTTTCATCCATTTTGAGTTTATTTTTGTGTATGGTGTAAGAAAGTGGTCGAGTTTCATTTCCCTGCATGTTGCTGTCCAGTTTTCTCAACACCATTTTTTGAAGAGACTGACTTTTCTCCATTGGATAATCTTCCCTGCTTTGTCAAAGATTAGTTGACCGTCAGTTGTGGATCCACTTCTGGGTTCTCTGTTCTGTTCCATTGATTTATGTGTCTGATTTTGTGCCAGTACCACACTGTCTTAATGACTACAGCTTTGTAATATAGCTTGAAATCTGGAATTGTGATGCCCCCAGTTTTGTTTTTCTTTTTCAGAATTACTTTGGCTAGTCGGGATCTTTTGTGTCTCCATATAAATTTTAGGATTGTTTGTTCTAGCTCTGTGAAAAATGCTGCTGGTATTTTGATAGGGATTGCATTAAATGTGTATATTGTTTTTGGGGTAGTATACGCATTTTAACAATGTTTGTTCTTCCAACCCATGAGCATGGAATGCTTTTCCCTTTCTTTGTGTCCTCTTCAATTTTTTTCATAAGTGTTCCATAGTTTTCAGAGTACAGATCCCTTACCTCTTTAGGTAGGTTTATTCTTAGGTATCTTAACGATGCATATTCTAAGGAACCCATACAAATTAAGAGACACACAGTAAACTCATTAGAACAATTGTCTGGTGGGGGGGGTA